TATACCATAAAGATATCCTTAGTCCGTCGTAAGTACTTAAGAATCATCTTAACGGCCTTCCAGTGTTCTTCACCTGGATTAGACTTATATCTGCTCGTTACACTAAGTGCATGAGCCACATCAGGTCTTGTACATAACATTGCATACATAATGCTACCAATAGCTGATGCATAAGGTATATGACTCATTCGTTCTCTTTCTTCAGGTCTCTTTGGAGACATCGTCTTTGAAAGTGAAACCCCATGACTCATTGGAATATATCCACGTTTGGTTTCTTCCATACTAAACCTTTTTAGTACCTTATTTATGTACGTAGACTGGGATAGTCCGATCATCTTTTTAAATCTATCTCTATCAAGGAAATAAATAGCTCGCTAAAGTTGCCGCTATTTGAGAAATAGCTTTTTTTGGCAGCGTGCCGCTATTTGTATTCATGTGCAATTTAGCCGCTAAATCCCGCTAAATCTCCGCTATAGCTCCGCTATAGCTACAGTGTCATAAACGTTTTAGCCCGCTATTTAAAACCTTGATCTCTATAGATTTTTAACCCTAGGATAAAAGATGCTTCTCCCAAATCTTTCATGGAGAACTGTTTAGACAACCATGTCCGTATTGATTGTAACATTCCTATATCATTCCCAATGAGTAGAATGTCATCAACATAGAGAACAACAAATACAACTGCATTCCCACTAACCTTCTTATAAACACATGGTTCATCCGGATTCTTATAAAAATCAAACGTTTTGATTGTTTCATCAAACCGAATGTTCCAACTCCTCGAAGCTTGTTTAAGTCCATAAATGGACCTTTGAAGCTTACAAACCATTTGCTCGCTCCCACTAGATATGAAACCCTACGGCCGTTTCATATAAATGTCTTCCTTAATGTTTCCATTAAGAAAAGCAGTTTTCACATCCATTTGCCATATCGCCTAGTCATAATACGCAGCTATGGCTAGCAATATCCGAATAGATTTAAGCATTGCTACTGGTGAAAAAGTTTCCTCATAATCAGCACCTTGTTTTTGAGTATAACCTTTAGCAACCAGTCTTGCTTTAAAAGTATTAACTTCTCCATCTACACCACATTTTCGTTTGTAAACCCATTTACAACCTATGGGTACTATACCCCGTGGTGGATCAACCAAAGTCCATACTTTGTTTGAATACATGGAGTCTATCTCGGATTGCATAGCTTCTTGCCATTTATCTGAGTCAATGTCCGAGATTGCCTCATCATAGCTTATTGGATCAATATCCAAAAGGAGTCCCTTTTCATTTTTCTCTAACAATAGGTATAGCCTCTCAAGCGCCCTAGAAATCCTTTCAGATCTCCGAAGAGGTTGTGTTACAGATGGTCCAGTCTCTACTGGTATATTATTTGTGGTATTTTGCGGAATTTCTTGTGGTTCTTCATTAAGTTCTATGAGTCCGCTATTCTTTGAGAGAAACTCTTCCTCTAAGAAAACAGCATTCCTCGAAACAAACACCTTTTGTTCAGAAGGGTCATAGAAATAGTATCCAATAGACTCTTTTGGATACCCCACAAATTTACATAAGATGGATCTCATATCCAACTTACCTCTCACCAACTGCTTCACATAAGCAGTATAACCCCATACTTTTAAATACTTGTACGAGGGTGTTTTGCCACACCATATCTCATAAGGTGTGCTGGGTAGAGCTTTACTTGGCACACTATTCAAAATATGTGCTGCTGTTTCTAAGGCATAGCCCCAAAATGAAAGAGGTAAACTAGTGGAACTCATCATTGATCGAACCATGTCCAACAATGTTCGATTCCTCCTTTCTGAAAGCCCATTGAGTTGTGGAGTTCCAGGAGGTGTCCACTGTGAAATAATCCCATTATCTCTTAAATAATCAAGAAACTCATTGGTCAAATATTCACCTCCTCGATCGGATCGATAAAACTTTTATACTACGACCAATTTTTAAAATATAATATGCACAAAGTTACCATCGTGCCTCAAGTCTAAGGATTAATCAT